TCCTCTTTCCTTTTCCCACCCAGGTGTTCTGTGCGAGCATCTCCTTCCTTCTCCTTCGCCGCGCAGCGGGAATCCGAGAGGATGCTGGTCCCGCGTGTGCACTTGTTCCCTTCGCCTTTAAAACGCGGCGAGGATCCAAGGGGAAAAGGAGATGCTCGCTCAGCATCCTGCTTCCCACCTCGGGGAGGATGGCCAGCTCCCTCTCCAGTTCCTTCCCGAGGAATATGAACTCGAGGAACGAGCTGCCAGACCCATCCCTCTGCATCTAGTGAGCGGCATCCCTGGAGCTGGAACTAGATGAGCTTTGAGGTCTCTTCCAACCCAAACAATTCCGTGATTTTGTGAAATCTTACCCGAAAGGGTTTGTGCTTTTCCACGCTCCCTCTTTCCCCCACGGTCTCCTAAACTGAAATAGTGGGGGGGTTATGGTGTGGTTCTCCCTTAAGATGCAACCCAAGTGGAACAGGGGAGCACGAGCACCGGAGTTTCTTTCCTACTGACTAATTAAAATGGAGTTGGGAGAATAATGTATTCTGCTTTTGTGCCTTCATGTGGGTGGGAATGGGCTGGGGAAGCGCTGGCAGTGCTTGTGTGCAATGAATGAGCTCCTTTCCTTCCCTTTCTCCGTGGTCAGGACTGGGTGGGGAGTGACTGAGGTGACATTTTCCTCTTGTCCTCTCGCTTGTACAGGAGGAGTCCGGGTTGTTGTTTTATCTTCCCATTTCCCTGGGACACATAAATGTGAATTAATCCTCCTTCATCCTTTCTTTGTAAAGTCTCATGAGTTTTTACTCATTGTTCCTCCCCCTTAGGAACTTTAAAATTTATTTTAAAATTTGCTTGTGGGAGTCAACCCTTTCTTTTCATTTATTTTCACTCTTTTTCACAGTTGTCTTTACATGCCTTAATTTCTCCTTTTGCACCAGGAGCTGGATGAGCTTCTTCTGATGATAAATAATGTATAAATCCACAACCACACCAACAAACTACTGTTTCCTACCCTTTTCCCTGCATTTTATTTGCAGTGCCTTGGGGTGGATGAGGAGACATCCCCTCCCTTTTTTATCCCCGGTGTCATCAAAAGTGTTTTGTTTTTATATACATATAAAAATAACCACAAGATCTCATATGTAGAGGCTTAACAAAGAGTGTACAAACTGGATCTGTGGTAAGAAGCTCTCCTGACACTCAGGATTGCTTATTACAGCACCCGTCTGTCTGCACCAATTAATAGATCATCTATAGCTCCTTTGCAAAACTTGGCTCTCCTTTCGCAATCATTTGATTCTCTTTTTGCTTCATTTCACCTGGAATTATGTTGTTTTCCCAGGAAGGGGCACTGGATGACCTGGCTGTATAATTAGATGTACTTCCCTGTCTCTTGTAAATGTATTTTTGATTTTCTTTCTGCTGCTATCAGCATAAAATGGAAAGGTCCTGAGAGAACACAATGAAAGTTTTTCTGCTTTTTGCATAGTTAAACTTTTTTTTTTCCCTGGTTTACTGAGTCTTGTGGTTTTGCATGATTTTAGCAGTTTGAGGTTGTGGGGGAGTCAGAGAATAGGTGGATTTTTTTTTTTTTTTTGGAGTCTCTACTCTCTGTGTCATGAATACGATTTGTGTGAAGTATTCCTGAAAATTTTTCCCAAGACTCCAGATGCTGAGCTGGATTTTCCCAGTTTTTGTGCTTCAGACTTTAACTGGTGTGTGTACAGTTCATTTTATGTTTCTTCTGAACCTCTTTAATGAAGCATTTTCTACTGATCACTGCTGCAGTGGCACCTCAATTAAAGCAAGCAAAATAAGTCACTTGCTTATCCCACACTGGGAGGTGACTTCACCAAAATTCTGGAATAAAATCTGGAGGATTTGGTGGTCCAAGTGTTTGGGAGAGAGAAAAAAAAAGGAATTACAGGAATCCAACAAGCTCAAAAAGCTTCTTTCCCTGACTTTGAGGAACTACTGTTAAAAAGTGCAGACCAAAGGACTGGATTCCAAGGGGATTGGGCACCTTGTACAACGTGGGATCAAGGATTGGTTTGGGTTGGAAGGGACCCTAAAGACCATCCCTACAAAGCTAAGTGGGAATTGGTTTTGTCTGTCTGTAACTTGTGATCTTCTGGTCAGGAGGGGAGAATATTCCAAAGGCTTCAGGGTTTGGTGATGGTGCCTGGAAAACGGGATAGTTCAGCTCTTTGTTCCTTTTGAGAGTTCCCAAGTTGCCAGAAAGTCACTCTGAGAAATGGCATCCTGAGATCAGGACTTTTCATGCTCATCTGAGCTTGAAACTGGGCTAAAAATGAGGCGTGGTTGCATGGAACATGTCTCAAATATTGTGGCTGATTTTGGTGTTTTAAAATCAGTGCGTTGACTCTTCACAGCAACATTTGCTTTAAAATATGAGCAAGAAAAGTGTGATTTGAGCTCTGTTGGTCGGTTCTGCCACTTCAGGTGTAGCTAGTTCTCTTTTCTTTTGGTCATATTTTATTTTTCCTGCACTTGGAACAGTTTTCCTATTTATATTCTTCATGTAATTCCGTGCTGCCTCAACCATGGATTCCCCATCAATCTCCGTGACAGAGCTGAGCAGCCTCTGAAAAAAAAAATTGCCAATGAACTTAATTTAACATGGGTCTGTTTATCATCTTGGGCTTTTTTTTTTTTTTTTCCCTGTTTTCATTATTTGTTTTTAACCAGCCTGTCTTCAAAAACCTGCAGCCAAACCCGTGGTCTTGCAGGGAAGCCCAGAATTGTTTGGGTTGGAAGGAACCTCTCAAGATTATGCAGTGCACATGGGTTTAAAGAGCTTTATGCTCCTTAATTTTTCTAACCATAAGATGGGCCTGTGTAAACAAAAATGTGCAGAACTGATACCAGCAGACATCTGAGAATTAACTCTTTCCTGTCTCTCACTCTTAGGGAGAAAGGAAAATCTTGTAGATTTATTTCCCTTTCTTAACATCCAAGGGAAAACTCTGCTCTCTCAAGATTGGAAGTCTCTTCAGATTTGTGGTTGTCTGCTCTTGGGGGTTTCTGGTTCAAGCAGAGTTTCTAAATTTGTTACCTTTTTTAACAACAATTCACTTTAAAGCAGTCGGTTAGAGACTGAATTTTGCAAAGTTTATCGTGGTAAGGCAAAATAATTATTAAAAATGACTATTCTTTGTACCCTTGGTCCTTTTTTCATGCTTTAGCCTCCGATTTCGGGGTTTGTTTCTCCAGCTGATGAACACAATGTGCTGAGTCCCCATTCTGCTTGTTCCACTCCAGCCCCTCGGTGCTGAGGAAATCCAGACCCAGCCTTGGGGTGTGATTCCTGTTTTAAATTGGCTCCATGGGGAGAGTGGAACTGGCAAAGCAACCGTTTGAGGTTTCCCTCTTTCGGGAGCGCGCGGAGAAAGGGGTGCTCAAAGAACGCTCTTCTGGTCTATCCTCAGCTTGCTGTGGTGGTTCCTGGAGAAGGGGATGGGTGTGTGGGATGAAAATGGGTCAGAAACGACCAAAAAAAGGCCGTTTACAACGAGATGAAAATGGCACATTTGAGCACAAACCGTGGCGGAGCTTGTTGGGCAGGACAGTGGCGAGCTGGGACTTGTGGGCTGGTGCTGGTGGTGACTGTTGTGTTTGTGTTTTATAATTATTCATCAGGCCATGCAAATAACGAGATGCTATCGATGTGAACACACCAGAGGAGGTGCTGAGTCATAAATAGCTTGGTTTCAGTGTGGTCAAACACTTGCAGTTAAGGTTTGAAGTGTGGGGTTTCCTCAAAATACTTCTGTCGCGGTAAATACGATCCCCATTTTCATCGTCCTTTTTGGGTAGAGTCTTTCAGCATCCCAGCTTTTCTTCTATTAATTTCGTCCATCTTCCATTAATTTCTTCCATTTTCCATTAATTTCTTCCATTTTCCATTAATTTCTTCCATCTTCCATTAATTTCTTCCAGAGGTTAAAAAAAAACCCAAACCCAACCAGGATTAAAACTCGCCGAAGGACCTTCTAGTCTTGCACAGGAGAACTCGAAGCAGCTTGTCTGCCAGTAGGAATCCTTAGAAATTTAGAGGTAACATATTCTAATCAAATTCGAGGGTTTTTTAGTGTATTCTGTTTGTTGTTTCAGGGTTACCCATCGAGGGGAGGACGTCCCTCTGTCACCATGGGGTCAGTCGTGTGGGAATGTGGTTAAATGCTTGGAAAAACTTCAACTAATTCATGGCATATTGGACTGAGAAAAGGGAAGGTTCCTTGCACACCTGCCTCAAATACAACGTCCCCTGGACTGAGCTGAGGATGTTGAACACAAAGACTGTTCCAGTTTGGAAGAGCCTCAAACAAGGACTGGGAATATCGTTGTCGAGGTGAAACCCGAGGATACAGAAGGAGCTGGAAGGGCCCCGTTCCCGGTGTGGAAGGATGGCTGGGAGCTGGATTTTGTGTTCCCTTTGGCTGTTGGATGTTTTGGTGGGGCTCACGGGGGGGCACAGCCTGTTTTCCTGTGAGCCCATCATCCTGAGGATGTGCCAGGACCTACCTTACAACACCACCTTCATGCCCAACCTCCTCAACCACTATGACCAGCAAACAGCAGCTTTGGCCATGGAGGTAAGGCTGGTTTTTCCAGGAGAATACATGGTTTTGTCCTTCAGTTAGCAAATAATCAGAAAAAAAACACCAACCCGAGAAGATACTTACATTAGAAAATAAAAAAAAATTGGGATAATTAATAATTTAAATATAAACCCAAATACCACTTGCATAGGATGTACTGTAATATATACACTGAGATATTCTGTGACTGCAGAATTTACCTAATTTAATATAATGGAGTGTGAAATACTCTGCATTTGCTTCTTACTTTAAATATCTATAGTCTAGTTTATACAAGACTTTTAAGTTCCCTTCAGTCTTAAGGAGTTTCCTTACTTGGTATTCTGTGGTATCACTAAAATTGATGGAAATTCGGGATATTAGGCAAGTGTTGCTGTCAGCCTGTTCAGATTTCCATGAGAGATTTGTCCAGATTAGGTTTATTTGTATTTCTGAAGTACTTGTGGTGAATTCACTGTATGCTGAGAACTGAAAGAATAATCATGTGTTTTCCTCTTTGAATGCTCCTCCTGACAACACAGAAACAGAATTGAATTGTTCTTGTTAAATAATACAAAGCCTTGGCTTTATGGAGTCTTTCTGTGCCAGAGTTTAAACCAGATGTGATGGCTTTTTCACTGTGAGAAGAAAATTGGATTTCTTACCCTTAAATTTGCTTTGTTTGGAAGAATTATGGACTTGCAACGACTCATTTGGATGGTTCAGTGGAAAGTGTCCATGGCTGGGGGTGGAATGAGCTGAGCTTTAAGTCCCTTCCAACCCAAATCATTCTGGGATTTTATGATTTTACTTATTCTCTAACATATTTTCTACCAGTTTCCTGCTATTTTCATTTAATACCCTTTTGTCAAGGTTGTGCAATACTGTGCCGCAGTTCAGTCCTCTGTTACACTCGAGATTTTGGAAACCTCAGTTCCATCCCCCAAGGCTTTTTTTCCTCTCCAAATGGAGAGGAAAATTCTTGCAATCCAGCTGCCTCATTGCTGCAATAATTTTAATTACCTTTCTCTGTCCCTTTTTCTGCCCTTGGCCTTGCTGAGAATGTCACGTCGCTCCGGGCGTGGCCACCCCAGGGATTTATTTATCACGGAAAATCACACTTTTAGCTGCTAATTACCAACATTAAGTTAGTTTTTCTGATTTTTGTTGTGTGTTCAACCCCGTGGACTGTCAAAAGCCTCACTTTCACAGCTCATTTATGGCCACTGCTGGAAGCAGAGCAGTAATTTATGGACCCTCGGCCTGCGCCAGAAAAACCCGGGTGCGATTATTCCGATCTTTGGAAAATCGCTTTGTGCCGGGGAGAGGGAAAGAGATGAGAAGTGGGTGTTGCTTCTCTGCACTCTGTGGTGGAAAACACAACTTCACAGCATAAATTAGCCTGGGTGAAACGCTGTCCTGCTGCAGTTCACACTCTGAAATTGGTGCCAGAGCCGTTCTGAGGCTTAGCACGGGCGCGTTGGTGGTGTGGGGATGTGGAGCGCTCCCTTTGCCAGTAGAATTAGCATTTAAACCAGGAGTTTCAGCCTGGGGATGGATTATGGGCTGCTTCTGAATGGCTCTGGAGAAATGGTGAAGGCTGTGAGGGGAACAGGCCTATTATCAAACTCAAATTCCCCGTGCAGGGGCCTGTGTCTGCGCCGCAGAGTTTTGAAAGAATGAAAATCCACAGGTTTTTCCTAAGTATATTCCTTGTATCAGCTTAGATTGCTCCTTAGATATGCTCAGGAAGATGGAAGTTTTTTATTATTTGGCTTTTTAGTCATTATTTAGTGTCACAGTCAAATGGATGAAGCGCTCAGATTTTGAAGTGATGGAAATGTGTGAAATCTTGCATTGTGACATTTTTCTAGTGGCATCTCTCAGCTCCAAGCCCTCCCTAATTGCTGTGAAGATAAAATGATATAGCAGGAGAATCAGTGTGATTCATCTTGTGACTCTCACAGTTTTTCAGTGGCACTTTTTCACAGCAATTCCTGCTGAAACTTGGAAGAAAAATTCAGGTTGGAAGGGTGCAGTACAACAAGGAGGGAAAGTGAAGTGAAATAGGGAACTCTTGTAGCTGTGTTCTTGCCATCAATAAATTCAGTGTACTTCTCTTCCCATGCCACTGGTTGCTTCATTGAAGAAACTGCTTGAAAACTTATTTATGGTGAGCTTGAAAAGATCAGTAAGTTGCCTTTTTGAGACTTTATGCTGGTATGGTTCCTTCATAATTATAATAAAGGCTGAAAAATCACATCAGCAGGTTGGAGAATCATAGAATCACAGGTCTGGGTGAGAAGGGACCTTAAGGATCATCCCATTCCACCCCCTGCCATGGGCAAGGACACCTTCCACTAGCTCAGGTTGCTCCAAGCCCCGTCCAACCTGGCCTTGGACAGCTCCAGGGATCCAGTGGCAGCCACACCTTCTCTGGGCAACCTGTGCCAGGGCATCACCACCCTCACAACCAAGGATTCCTTCCCAATATCCCATCTCAATCCACCTTCTTTCAGTCTTGATTAAACAAAGGCAGATATAACACCGGGGTCCCTCAGTGCACACCAGTCCCTGCTGGAATCAGTTCCTGTGTATTTACTCCTAGGAAAGATAATTCCTTAAGCTTTCTGCCGTGCCTGCTTTAATCCAGGAGCATTGAAGGGAGGGTTTGCTGCATCCAGGGACCTGGAGCATTGTTTTAACCCCCAAATATCCCTAAAGAAGCTTTTGATGGAGGACAAACACCAGTCCAAGCTCTGTTAACATCCGTCCTCTTGGCAGTAGCAGGGACTGAAACGGGAGTTATTTTACATCTAAAAGGGGCAATAAAGGAGTGATGACATATCAGTTATGACAGAGAATGTAGCTGTGAGATCCTGGGTGTCCAGGGCAGGGATTTTCCGTGGACTGAGCTGTCCAGGCCGGAGCAGAGCCGGGAGCTGTCCAGGGCCTCTCACTTCCTGACTCCGGAGGGTCATTCCTTCCGTCTGCTCTGAGGTGTTTGTAACATTTTCTATAACCTGTTAACGGGCTGGTTGATGACAACAACCATCACATGCAATTCCAGTTTCAGGGATGCTGTTAAAACTTCCCTCTCCCTTTATTCCCGAGGATGCAGGAACACTGGGATGTCGCAGCGTTGTTGCTGCCACGGTTCCGTGTGTTACATCAATCCCAAATGAGCCTGTGAGGATGGAGAAGTCAAATTACCCCTCTCCTCCCCGAGGGACCTGACCTTGTTTACCCATCTCTGGGATTATTATTGCTACAAAGAGTTACCTTCTGTCTCTTTTGCACTTAATATTCCTTTGGCCTTGAAGGATTTGCTTGTGCAAGCAGTGGGTTTTATCTGCCCTAATGCAGTTTTTTTTGTAGGCAGATGTTTTTATCAGAGAACATGGAACTCGGGGGCCTGTTGGAGCCTGGGAGGATGCTCCGAAAGCTTTTGTCACTGATGAAGAGAAGCAGTTTAATATGGATGATTCCCAACCTTTTTGCAGTTAAATACAACTGTCAGCACTTCTTTTTCCTTGCCCTGATTTTTGTGGGACCTCGCAAATGATTCTGGGCATCAAAGAGGCTTTAAGGGACGGGAGCCAGACATGGCTGAGGGCTAAATGGGTCCCTCTGAGTTGTCTTTTGGGATTATACTGGAGGTCAAACACTCTCAAAATGAGATGGTGCAGCCACCATATGGACAGGGGAGATAAAGTGCTGTTCCTTTGCACTGTCTCACAGCTCCCATTCCTGTTTTCCATATCAAAAAAGAGCAGCAGTAGGGACTTAGGGGTGTAGCCACTGTGTAGGTGGGAGATGAGGAGGGGGAAACAGAGAATTTGGTTTTTTCCAGTGTGAGGGAAGTAGCTGGAAGAGGAGTTACACTGTATGCTCCTAATCCATCAACATGCCAAGTTTCACCAACTGGAAATCATTGAACTGATATAAACAAAGTACCCAGTGATGAAGATTTTTGAATATTTAGAAGCAGAGCTAGTGAATAGTTCATGGACTTTGACACAGATGTGAGGGCAGCTGATTTTTCATCTCCCATTTCAAATTTAGTGGTTTTCTTGCCTGTCTTGATTCTTGCAGAGGATGATTCCACTGACCTGCCTCAGAGCAGGGGATGTGCTGCAAGGTCTGCATGCCCTTGCCAGCTCTATTTCTGTGATCCTTGGAGCCTCAGTTAATTCTTTTCGTCTTTTTTTAAAGTGGAAAAGAACTGGAGTGTGCTTAAAATGGCACCAACAGAAGACATAGCTCTATTTATTCCCAGCCTGGTCTTAACATCTGGGATAAGAGATATTTTTCCAGCAGAGGTAGGTCAGGTATAAAGTGGCTCATTTAGTGGTGTTTCTTTCCTACTGATCAGCAAAGATGGGGAGAATGCAGGGTGGAAAATCCTTAACTTCTTACCCCCTTAATTCCACCTTTATTCCTTTTCACCCCCTCTCTCCTTCTGCCTCTCCCAGGCGCTGTATCCTTCTAAGTGTCACGCTTTTCCTTGGCTTCCTGTGTCCTTCAGTTCTGCATCCAAAACTCCTGGAAGTATAAGCATATAAAGCTCATGGAAAAGTGGGTTTTAATCAGCTGGTGTTTTGTAAGCACCCTGATCTCGGGCACTAATTTGCAGCAAGGATTAATTTCCTCGTTAGCGTGTGAGGTTACGATCCCTGCGGAACAGCGGAATTGTGCAGGATCACAGGGATGCAGGCAGTGCTCCAGCTGCTTAAAGCCTTTTCTTCCATTAACTTTGTAGTCTCTTATTCCCACTTGGAATCTTTGCCTTAGAAATAGCCACGTGAAAACTTTTAGATTGTTTCATTTGTAAACCAGAACGTCTCAAAGCAGGAACTGCAGAGATGATTCCAGGCCTGACAATGCCCTGCTTGGAAATTCCTGCTTTAGGAATACCTGAGGCTTGACTGTTGGAAACTGCAGCAGCTCCTGGTTTCAGTCTTGATCTGTAAAGGGCACAAATATACAGAGGTGAAATCCTTCGTGGATAAGAA